CGTCTATCCGGGGGCCTTCGGCGATGGCCACGGGGTCATTACCTACTGATCGTCAGGTGTTGTTGCGCATAGTGTGTACAAACATGTGGCCGGTTGCCCATACCTCTTCATTACCTATGGTGCGTGCCCGTTTTCTTTATGCCCTTCTTCATGGGGACTCGATCGACTTTCCTAGTTTTGTGTGCCAGAATAATCTGGCTTCATTTCGTACTCCTGGGAGTCGAATCGGGTTGCCTTATGCTTGCTTGATTCATAGGGTTGCTTTGTCGTTGGGTGCTTCCTTTCCAGAGGGTTCGACTTGTCGCATAGGACGTTCGATAGGACAGCAGACCATTCATCAGAGTAGATCCCATGAACCGTCATCTTCCTCTTCTGCTCATGCTACAGGTCAGGCAGCGGCCGTTGATGTTTTTGATCTTTCGGAGCCCTTTGATCGTATTACTGAGATTCTTACTGGAGGTTCCCGTGTGTTTCTCCCGCCTCGTACGGATTTTCCTTTGGCCATTCCACTTAGTTCTGCCTTTCCTTCGACATCTACTTCTGCTCCTGGGGTGGCTGCTTTGCCCGTTGACCCCATGGTGACGCTTATGGGACAGATGTCCACTTTGGTCGAGCAGCAGGCTCGTATGATGGCAAAGATCACGCAGTTACGTGCTGTAATTGTTTTGATCCTTTGTCCTTTGTGACAAAAAGGGGGAGTAGATATTTGGATAGATGATTGGATAGATAGATATCGATATTTGGATAGATAAATATAAATTTTTTGGTGACTAGATTAAGTTTTTGATGTTTTGGCAATACTAATGTATGTTTTTGGTATTTTTGACTTACATTATTATTGCTTCTTAATCTGGTTAATGATATATGATCTATTTCTTGTTTTTATTTACTGTTTCCATTTCACATGCTTTTACACTTGGTATTTGAGTTTTTGATTTTCAGGAAACAGATTCAACAAGAGATTGCTAATTTGGTTGAATAGATAGGTTGTTTGGAGTCATGTTTATTTCTTCCTTGACTATCATATGTATTTTTGTCACAGAATGTCAAAGGGGGAGTTTGTTAGGAAAATATGTAATTGGCAATCTGTGACTAAAGGACCTATTTGTCATGTTTGTAAAGTCAGGGACTAAATTGTAAAGGTCTAATAGTTCAGGGACTAGAGTTGCAATTTAATAAATTTCACAGCATAGGTCTAGGGTAAAGTGGGATGCTTTGAAGATGCAAACGGCGTGTTGATTTCGCTAGAGTTTCGCTCTGACCTTGCTCGAGCCAAAATTGCAGAACTGATCTCGTTGGAGTTTCGCTGGGCAGTCACTCGAGCGAAGGTGCGTCGCTCGAGTTTCGCCAGCACTTCGCTCGAGCGACGGTGTTATCTGGTCATTGGTAATTTTAATGCCTTGCAAATTTTTAACGCTCCATATTTCCAAATTTGGTCTACTATATAAACAAAACGTCCGATTTTCATTAAATACTTTTGGAAAACATTCAAACAGGAACTTCTTTTAACTTCCAAAGGATTTAGAGCCAAACTTTCGATCTTTCTCATCTTTTGATTCTCATGATTTTTGAATAAAAACATCAACCATCAGAAAACCAAAAACACCCCTTCATATCTCCATATCAACTTCCAAAAGATCATCTGTTTGAAGATCTGGGAAGGAAATTGCTTGAAGAGCTGGAGTGCTTGGTGATTCACGGGAAGTAGAAAATATTCAAGGCTGGGATTTTGGTGCAGATCTACAGAATCCAGGAGAGCTTTGGTTGATACAGTAAGGAGGCGAGAGAATTGTTAGTTTCAATTATGTCTGGCATACTGTAAGTCAATATTTTCGATAGTGGATCTCTACTGGCTTGTGCCCGGAGTTTTTACCCAATTGGGTTTTCTCCGTCAACATTTTGTGGTGTTTTTACTGCTTTTTGTTATTTATTTTTCAACCGATAATTCAACTTAGGTAGATAAAGTATGTAAATGAATCTAGGCAATGCATAATTTATGTGACTTGTTGCATAAGTTAATTAATTGTTTTAATTCAGCATAAACACCTATTCACCCCCTCTCTAGGTGTTGGTTGGGTCGAACTATATCTTTTTCAAACTTCAATTCAACTTTGAAGAGGCGTGAAAAATCTGAAAAAGAAGTGTTTGGTGACGGTGGCTCAAAACTGTGTTGGGCGTCGACTGGAGTTCATCTAAATTCTGAAGAGGAAAAATGCTTTTGATAAATTATGTTAGTCTTGAAATTATTAGATATATATATATATATATATTAGAATTATTGGATAATAATAATAATAATAATAATAATAATAATAATAATAATAATAATAATATATTTGTATTAGAAAATTAGAAATTAACAGAAATATCCACAAATGACAAAAGTATTGAATTTTACAAATTTGGATGAATTTTCAAAAAATTTCATTTTTTTAATTTTTTAATTTTTATATATTTTTTCGTCGATCCGGTTTGGTTTAAAACCGCGATTAAAATTCTCAAACCTAAATCAAATTATTTTGACCGGTTTGGTTTGAGTCAAAACCATTTCGTTGACCGGATCCATGTGGCACCAAACCGACGGTTTCTAAAATGCGGTTTCGATTCTATTTTCCGATTTTTGCTTACAGCCCTAGTGGGATGAACAATATTTATCAATTTTTCGAATTTTTTTGGTAACACAAAATAAATGTACTTTTGTGATTTTTGGATCATTTAATTTTTACGGTGATATCGTGATCTAAAGGGTATTTTTGAAGTCTGGATTTGATGTCTTTGGTATTGAGTGATTAATTGTGGAATAAATTAAGATTTTTTTTTTTTGGTTATATCAATTTTAGGTAATTAATTATGAATTATGTGATTGGCAGAAAGTTTAAGCTAAGAAGAAAAATTGTGGTGGATCTTTTGAAAAGCTTTATTTAAGTAATTTAATTTATTTTTTTTATGTCCTGAATGTAAACTTTGTTGTTACGGATTCATTGATAGCCTTCTCTTCTTTCTCCCTATTAAAAAATAGAATATTTTATTAATCTTAGTCACTTGTGCATGAATAAGTGGAATGTTACTTGTCATTATTGTTGAATTAGTATGTTAAAGATAAGTATAATAGGCACTTGTAATATGATTGATCAAAGTTTTATCTTCCCAACTTCGATAGGATATATCTATAAATTGGCAGAGTTTTTATGTAAAAAGAGATATTCAAGTTTTTTGTAAGACAATACGGATTCCTACCATAGAAATTTAATTATTTGAACGAGATACATCTTTTGAAGATTGATAATGAAATTATTGTACAACGATATCAAAGTATGAAAGCTCGCAAGAAATAAGTGTGACTTATAAATTATGTAGTATTTTTGTGATATTGTTTTATATTTTTTTTATCATCAAATTCATGACCAAAAATTCAAAATTTGGCATCGATTAAATTGCAACCGCACTGAAGAAATTTTCTGGCTCCGCCCCTGTCCTCTTGTGCATATAGATTATAGAAACTATATGCCTTTTCATTTGACAAAATTCCTGCACAGCGATGGATATTTGACTAAAAGAAATATATGGAATAAACATGTCAATACTTTCTAAATCCATCTCTACAAGTTTCAAAAAAATGAGATTTGATAAATTCCTTCACATGGGAAACCAATCAATTAATAAAAAACGATGAACACAAATCCTTAATATAAATTGCATTTTTCCATAGTTCATTATTTGCATTTCAAGTAAATATTCATTAGAAAAACTTAAAAAAAAAAAGTACCAACAAAATAAATAAACCAATTATATCGAAAACATTATCATATCACAAATTTTTTTCGACGATCACTAAAACACAAATCTGATCTGCGAAAAATATTGCTATAAGGTATGAAATGGTTGAGAGGAGAATTACTGCTGCGGTGAAAACGTAGGGTAGGATAACTTAGGGTGGAATGGTTGGGTAAAAAGAATTTGTCTAGTGGTACATAATGAGGTATATCGAATGGTGTACATCCCACTCACATGGGTGTGAGATCTATGTGAAAGAAATAATATTTTATTCGAGTGAGTCTCTCGTCCATGTGAGTTGGGTGTACATTATTAAGTATATCCCGATGTACCACTAGCAAAATCGGGGTAAAAAAGGGAAGAGTGGGGGGCGTGGGAAAAGGTCGGGTGAGGTGTGGGAAAAATGTTGGCTGTTGCCTGTTGGGATGGGATGGGATGTGAAGGAAAAAGTAGCATAGAGCGTGAGGGAAAAAGAAATCAATTAAAGAACAACAAAAATGGAATCATCGGTGGAAAGATCGTTTTTCTGCCCACCATGGATCGGAGAATAAGAGTGATAAAATTAGTATCATCTCAACATTATGATAATAGAAAATTTTATTGTAACGACAATAATATTTGCTTCAACGAACAATTTTTATTATTATATTTATTTATTTATTATTTTTTTATGTTTCTTTAATCCTAATTTGTGTGGTTTAAACATGCATACAAAACATTGTGCAAAGAGAAAATAGTGGAATTTAAAATTTGAAAAGTAAGATAATAAGATTAAAAATAAGTTGAGATAATTATATTTAAAATCAACAAATGATTCATTAAAATTAGTAATCCTCTTGGTCTTGTTCTTGAGTATAAAATATTGACTACAAAAAATACCATTTCAAAACATAATTGGTTAATTCTATTTCATAAATATAGATTTAAATGTCTTTCTCTTAAGTATCTTGTATGATGGTCATATTGAGAAAAAATAATATTTTGAACAGTAATTTTTTGGAGAATGTACGATTAAAAGGTAGGAAAATTTTTTGAGTTTATGTGTAAAATATTTTATTTTGTAAATATGTAGTTGAAAATGAGTATGAGAATTAAAGAGTAACGTTTGAAAGGAAGACAAACATGAGCTTAATTTATTTTTCGTCTCTTATCTTTTCCTCCTGCATAATGCATTCTACAATTCATATAAAAAATGTAGAGTAGTATAGAGTAGGGCAATGATTCTTTCTTTGAAATATGCTTTTTGTGATATTTGTAGATAGACCTCGTCCACTATTTTCTTCCTCGTCTTCGTCTTTGTGCTCTTTATATGTACGAACTATTGATTAATGCCATATATGTTAAAGTAGCAGGTAATTAAAGGTGACTAATCATTGAACTTAGTGAGAAGTTTCCGTGCAATATTAAACTGGGACTAGGGTCTGGGTTTCAATTCTTCAAGTATTTTCAAGGAAATTTCTAGGAAAAAGATTCTTGAAATTATATAACAGGTTCAAGATTTCTAAAAACAGTATTATAGTTTACCGATGGAATTTTCGTCAGGGAATGTCCATGCATCAGATGACTTGTATGCCGAAGAATTACAATTCCAGGAGGCTCTTGAGGCCTCGATCTCATTCAGCAATCTTCATATATCTTCATCATCACGAAGTTCCTGTGATATTTGCACGGAAGAAAAAGAAAACCATGAGATGTTCAAAACTATGAAATGTTTTCACTCCTTTTGCACTGATTGCACAGGTAAACATGTCAAAACACAGATTGAACGGAATAGTTACACTGTTACATGTCCAGCTTTCAATTGCCAAAGCTTTTTGGAACTAGATTCTTGCAGGTATATCGTAATTTTTCTTAATTGTTTGATTGCGTACTTAGTATAAATCTCTGTCTTCGTAATTCTCAAGATTAGAAATAAAACCGATACAAATTGTCAAATTCTATTATTATGCCAAAAGGAGAATCCCCGGAGAATGAGTATATTCTTCTAGGGGCTGAGGAGGCTTTCATCTTGGGAATTTGCAGGTCTATCATTTCAGCAGATTTGATCAATCGTTGGGAGGCAGGACTGACTGAATCAACAATACCTATTTCTCAAAAATTTTACTGTCCTTACAAAAACTGCTCAGCCATTTTGCAGAATGATAACGGCGAAGAAGAAGTCATTAGGGAATCAAAATGTCCAGAATGCCAGCGACTCTTTTGTGCACAGTGTAAAGTCCCTTGGCATCCCGGATTTGAGTGCACAGAGTTTCAGGAATTCAATGAAAACGAAAGAGATGAAGCAGATCTGAATATGCGCAAACTGGCCAAGAAAAAGAAATGGCCCAACTGTCCCAATTGCAATTATGTTGTGGAGAAGACTGGGGGCTGCATACACATGACTTGCAAGTTAGTTTCCTAAACTTTCACAAATAATGACAACGTTGGTCATTCAAACTTTATTGTTCCAACTATATCAAATATATTTTCTTAATATATGTGAGAATGAAAGCAAATCTATCTTTATGGACGAAGACATTATTTATTTTTCTGATTGTCACTTACAGTTGTGGATTTGAGTTCTGCTATACCTGTGGATCAAAGTGGAGCGAGAGTAATCACTGGAACACTTGCCAGAGAGGGTGATATAACAAAGTTTGATCAAGAGAGTGCACTTGTTTTCCAGATCGATCGAGTCACTTAGACGGGTTAATTTTTCTACTTCTTTCTTTCCTTTGCCAAAGGTCAAGTCATATGTCACCCTACTAATATTTTTTCCGTTTTATTCATGAAAGGGAATGTATCTTTAGTTTGTTGTGTCTCTTGGACTGATTAATTTTTCTTTGTTTTTTTCGTTGATCGGTGAGAGTTAGAAAACTTAAATTAAACAATATATATATTTGAACTAAATTTGTTATCTATCAATGAAGTGATATGACATGTCATGTGTATTTAACCTATGAAAAGTATCGTATCAATGCTCAATAGTTCATTCCTATATATATCATCTTTGAGCGATACAACTTCAGTAAATTAATCTTGTTTATGGTGCACGTACACTACACCAAAACTACCACTCTATTTAATATTTGTGATGGAGATAATAATCTAATTAATATATGAAGATTACGTGAAAAGATTTGATGGATTTATTTACAAAAATTTAAATCAAGAGTTTAAATTGTTCGATCATCTTAATAAATGATTAGCTAGTAGAGATACAAGCATAAATAATTGCCAACAAATTTATACTTCAACAATAGAGATTTAGATACAAAAAAATGGGTAATAAATAATTTTAGGAGAAGTCAGACACATCTTCCTCTCGCCTATATATAACAATTATTTTTTTTCATGTACTTTAATAATCATGAAGACACATTGCCACCATCAAATTTCTTGAATTTAGTGCAAGCTGCAATCAATCATGCACTAAACTTGTAGGAAAAAGGCTGTGCACGCGTAAAACACTTTCACAATTGTGGGAATCACGAGTATTTTAAAGGAAATTTGCAGTTGAGATTCCAAATCTTCAAACAGTATCAGACTTTCTCTTAACCTTTCAATCGTTATAGTCATCACCCCAAACTTTTCAAATCATTGCAACCGAGGCCCCAACGGACAATTTCCATCAAATTTGGCATTAGTTGACCAAAATAATTAATTTTGACCACCTTCTAATCAATTTTAAAAAGACAAAATAGTACTTTAATAATTTTCCCATAAAATAATAGAAAATATAAATCAAAATAAAAAATAAATAAAATAAAATAAAGAACTATCTTCTTCTTCACCCCCGCCCCAGCCCCAACCCGGCCCCAAAAACCAGAAATTCAAAACCAGCACACATGGAATTTGATATCAAAAGAACTTAGCTTAAACTCAGCATCAAGTTTCTCTTGCCCAACTCCCTCCAATGGGATATAAATCTGGGAAAATGAAAACAACAAAGATACTGAACTAAAAATCTAGTCACGGAATACATGGAAGAATCAAAATATGGCAAGAGCTGGAAATTGTAACTTTGACCAAGCCAGTACAAATACACCAAAAGCAAATTTAGCTATTGCCCAGATTCACAAACAATAGACCAAACTAACCGCGTCTTCTGTTGAGGGTATGAAGTGTCCAAGTCTACAACTGCACTTCTCCAAAAGGTAGCTCAAATCTTTGGCACCCACCTTCTAATCAAGAAAGACGTTGACTTTCAAGGAAAAGATGGAGAAAGAGGGGAAGTATTTTGGTGATTTCTGGTTTTGGGGTGGGGCGGTGGCAGGGCCGTGGGTGAAGAAAAAGATAGTTCTATTTTTTTCCTTTTTTCCCTTCCCTTTTTTTTTTTTTTTTTTATTTACATTTTCAATTATTTTATGGGAAAATTATGAAAGTACTATTTTGCCCTTTTAAATTTGATTAGAAGGTGGTCAAAATTAATTTTTTTGGTCAACTAACGCCAAACTGGATGGAAACCGTCCGCTGGGGCCTCGATTGTAACGATTTGAAAGGTTTGGGGTGACGATTGCAACGATTAAAAGGTTATGAAAAAGTCTGCTACTGTTTGAAAGGTCCAGAACTTCAGTTGCAATTTACCCTTATTTTAATCGTGGTCCCCACTTCTTGTGTGTGAAAGAACTATCAACCATGATGTTAAAATTACTATACTTATAGTATTGCTCAACTTATAGGATACTATCAAATATATAATACTATTAGTGCTCAAAAAATAAAATCCTCATATTATTTGCCATTTCCACAACACCCTTTTCTGTATGTTCGAGTACAAGAACAGTTAACCCTTTAAGCAAGAATGATCATTCCTTCTTATCGTGTGCTCCTGAACTATTGACATTTTTTCCTGTTCTTTTGAGTATAAGTTAGCAGCTATAGAATACCTCGTAATTCTAATGTTTAAGCATTTCGTGCTAAGATATAATTAAATTATTAACCAAACTCATGTAAATAATTTAGATAAAAAAAATTCCAAAATTGAACACAACAAAGAACATAAAATCCTTTTCTAGTGTTAAGTAATTAACCAACCGGACAACTGGAAAAATCATTTGTAAACAAGCTAAGAAAACGCCAATGTCCGAACAAACATCTGTCCATGTAACTTAGAAAAAAAGGCCACCGCGTGCAGTCAAGTGTCGGTGCGAATTCACAATATCTTAAACAGTTCAATTTTCGCCACCACTCACACGTCAAAGGCACTGTTATAGACATAGATTAGAATAATAAAATCGTTTTTTTTTTTTAATATATCTTTATTAGCACAAAATTTCGCATGTCAAATATTTCATGTGAACTGAACAATATTATGTTACTAGCAATAGCAATATGTAGACATCGAGTACTTAAATTCTTTACAAAAGTTGAGAGCAATAAGAGATTCCCAAGTTACATTTACAATCCATCGCTTTCACAAATACATCAAAGCCCCATTTTTCTGCTTGGGCATCTTCTAATGAAAATAGCCCTTTCCGAGTCAACTTCGAAACCAGCTCACACTGAGGGCACTTAAAAGTGCTTATAAACTTCGATCAAACCCGAGTTGGTCAGAGCATTGAATTCTTTGCAAGAATCAACATATTAGATGCTTAAATAGAAAAACCATTTTTTGCTAAAATTTGGAGAAAATTATTTTATTGAAAATTGCAGAGAAACATGAAAATGTTTGGAAAGCCAGATCAAAGATGCAGCATCTCAAGCAGAAGATATAATTGAATACCATAATTCAAGTCAAATTCATTTGGAATCGGAATTTCCTTCAAGCGATTAATTTATGCCGGCAGTCCAAAAGCTAATTCGGGCAACCAGGAATCATGTTTTAGGGCACAAATGTGAAGACTTGGAGAAAGAAAGTGAAATACGAAATTGATTGGGTCACAGGACAGGTGTGGGTTAAAGGATCTACTACTAACGAATTACTTGCTTTGGGTTCATCAAGACTTAAATATTGAGGAAAGGATATCTATGGTGGGATTTGATGATGACTTGATCCAAATCATGGTTGGCTCATTGGCAACAATTGAAACTCCAAATCATCCCAGTTATTGGGATGGGAGGCATTGGTAAGACTATTCTTGCTAGAAATCTTCATAATGATCCTTGTGTAGTTCTTCACTGCAGTACTCGTTCTTGGATTATATCTTAGGATTATCAAGTGAAAGAAACTCTTCTAGCCCTATAGCTCTTCCTGATGAAAAACAGCCAGAGACTATTGAAGAATTCATTTGCAGCAGTGATGGACAGTGTGGAAAACAATGGTCTGTCTGCAGCCAAGATAGTATAAGGAGAAAATTTGAGATTGAGTTTGGCCTGCAAAATCTTCCAAATTATCATCCTACAAGAACAAAGAAAAACACAGAGTAATGGATTGCTTCAGCATGCAATTCACACAAAGGCATAGATCATAATCAATAACCGACATTTTTTATTAAATCCATATTGTTATAAATATTATTTTAGTTATACTTAATTTTCAAATCATCTAAACTTTCTCTCGATCCACTGTGGTACAACAATAAAAACAAAATAAATCCACTATACGGGATGCAACCAATAGAACATATCATAAACTCAAGCTTGACTTTAGTCACCTAATACAAATAAAAAAAGAAAAAAAAGGAGAAAGAAAGAAAAAAAAGGGTAACAAGACTGAAATAAGTCGGTTAAGTTCAGAAATGATCTCCCTCGGACGTTTACAACATGATTACGGGTTTTGTTTTGTTGTGGATGCTTATGAAATTTTTTGGCAGCCACTTTAATTAGGTTGAAAATTTGTTACCAAAACGAGGTTCTCTAATACAAGGTCATAAGCATGGTTAGATTTAATACTTGACCAATCCTCAACATAAAATGATTATTATTCATCGGGGGAAAAAAATTGGAAAAATAACTGGTTCTCATGTGCATCCACAGATCCACTAGCATATTATAGGACAAGAAACTATAGAGGAAATAAAGCAAAAACTGCACCAAAAACTATAAAATATTTGAAGTTCAACAGCATTGGGAATTCAAGATTTACCCTGATCATTTTATCTTAATTTTATTTAAGATCAAGAAAGTGGTAGTTTTTAGGCAGAAGGAGCTTTTACCTTTGAAGGCAAAGCGTAACTGCAGAAGCCATTCCACAGTCGTACCATTTCAGCAGAATTTTCATCACATCTTCCCAAGAAAGAAGGGCAGCCACATTTGAGGTTATCTTTTTAATGAGCACCCAACTGGTAGCAAGTACCCCAAAAGATCTTTACCGTTGTGAAGCAGCAGCTAAGAATCAGGCACTGAAGGCTCAGAAAATGGATGTTTATCTGACTCTATGCACTAGATCTGCCCATTCAATATGAAGGAATTCTAATTTACTGAATCCCATTCCGGCTTCGGAAGGCATTAATTTGCTGTTTCAGCATCTCATGGTTGTAATTTGATCCGATTTACAGCAAGATTAGTCTTACCATGCTTTCCATCCCAAAAACTAGGATGATTTGGAGTTCCGATTGCAGCCAAAAACCCAACCCATTACTTGAATCAACTCATCATCAAACACCACTATATTTTTCTCATAAAAGGCTTGAAAAACCAGGCAAAGAATCCCTTAGCAAAACCTTTTAACCAACACCTGTCCTCATCGTCTCTGTAATCGAATCAGTTTCTGCTTATATTCATACCTAAAAGACGAATCCTGCTAGCAGAAATCAGATTTTGAAGAGCATAAATCAATCGCTTGAAGAAAATTTCCAATTTTGTTTGAATCTGATTCGAAACATGGGATTCAATCATATCATCTACTTGATATGCTGCATCCTATGCTTTCAAAAAAATTTATGCTCCACTACCATTTTCTGGGGAAAAAAATCTTCCACAGATTCTAGAGAAAAATTGAGATCTGCTAGTGCCTACATAGCAAAAATATAGCAGCATAAACATCACTGTTCTATCCTCTCTATAAATAGGACGGCTACGCGGTTCTAGAATAAAATAATTAAGAAAGTCTGTAAACCCTAACCCTAAAATTGGACAATTTTAGCGTAAATGGTCCATAACCTTTGCCTTTAATGTGAAAATGTGTCCCTACTATTTTTTTCTTGACATTAACGTCCCTATAGAGTGTTTCTGTGTGCAATCTTTTTTCTTTTTCTCATGAAAAAGACCAACATGTCCTGAATTTTAACTAGGAAAATTCGCACTTTGGTCCTTAGCATTTAGAAAAAGTACATATGTCTCGCCTTTATTTCAAAATACTTGTTATAGCATATTAATATATATTATTATATTTGTGTCAATTAAAATGTTCAGAAGGAAATTAATGAATTATATAATTTTATGACATTCAATCAATCTTATTGTATTTTTATTTATGTATTATTTATATTTCTTTATTTGATAATAAAATGAAAATTAAATTATGAAAAATATAGTTGGACCTCAAATATTTGTAGATAATAAACGTAAAACTCAATTACATAAAAGTATTTGAGTGTTCATAAAAATAAAAAATAAAAATGAAAGTATTTGAGAATCAAGCACTTTACATATGGATGTTTTTCATTTTTCCCCTTTATTGTTATAATCATACAAATAAAATTTTAAATTTTAAAGAAAACAATTTTCATATACTATCAATTTGGTCAATAAGTTCTTAATTAAATAAAAAATGATTTTTTATTTTTTTACGCCCTGTTTGGGAGTGATTTTTCACCCCAAAAAATTGATTTTTTGACCATTATTTCACTATTTCAACCATGATTTTTGACTTCTTCTCTCACATGTGACCCTGACTTTTCTTTTAACGGTCAAAAAATCAATTCTTAAAATAACTATCGAACAAGCCCTTAAAGTATTTCCTGGAAGAAAATAAAAGTAAGGTATGTTTTTCTTTTTACCCTTTATTGCTATAATCATATATATATAATCTGTTGGGTAGTGATTATGATAATTAATTTTTTGATCTTTAGATGGAAAAGTGGATCTCACCTGTTAGTAGAGAAGTAAAAAATGATAGTTGAAACAGTAAAATAATTATTAAAAAATTAATTTTTTAAGGTAAAAAATCACTACCAAACGAAATTTAATTAAATAAAAAATGAATTTTTACTTTTTTAAAAGTATTCCTAGAAGAAAATAAAAGTGGGGATAAAGATGGGTGTACAGAGCCCATTAACATAGACTTACACGTGAAGTGATCCCCTCATTTAAAAAATAACCCAAAAGTGCCTACCCACGTTGTGTTTGTGAGGAGCAAGTGGGGGTTATGTCAGTGCAGCATCGTCCTAAAAGTATGGTATGGGACCCATCTACACATCTAGCAAAGAAAAGGAATAAAAACCTAGCTGAATTTTTTTCCTAATTAAAATTAAGGGCATGTTGATCTTTTCATTTTATGAAAAGATCAAGCCCCTGTTTGGTACTCATTTTTGGAGCCAAAAATACATTTTTTTCGTCACATCAGCACACAATTTTTGACTTCTACACTTTAATGGAGGACCCACGATATGATGTTTAAAATGCATTTTCATCTAAAAAATGTGCACCAAACGGACTCCGAGCATCAATATGCAGAGATTAGTAAATAGACATTAGTGACCATTTGTGCCAATTTCTTCATATTTATTTTTCACATGTAGAATAAATAAGTTCTTGGTTTAAACTTTCTCTTCTCGTCTTGCACATTCTATCGAGAATGCATACCCAATGTAAATAAGCTTTTTATACTTATACAAAATATGTCACAATATTCTCATTTTTTACTTTCACATACACATTTTTATTGGTTAATTAATACTAAACAATTTTTTAACTCATTTAGATACTGTACGTTAAACTGGAGATGGAAAAGAATAATACTACAAATTAGTGTCGTGGTTAAAGCTTTAAACTTTTACGAGCCTAAGTACGTCTGGACAAAGTATGAACGGAGTTTAGATGTAAAAAAGGGTAAAGCATAATTAGACGTTAAGACCAAGTTTCGCGCTTAAGTGAAGCTTAGATGAAGTCTATGTGAACTTTGTAGAATATTACAACAAAAAAAGTGACATTGAAAAAGGATAGGAATGGCGCATTGGCTTGGTTGGTGACTGACTGGAATTAATGAATTACCATGATTGTCATTGACTAATAGAGCGAGCAACGCAATTGAGTCACTAGGATGGATGATGTGAGTGTGAGTCCAGACTTTCGTGGCTTTAGAGACTTCTCTCAACTTTCAACAACGTTTTAGAAAGGAAAATTCTTTATGCGTGTACAAAACTAGGACTATATTTGGTAGGGATTAAAAGACAATTAAAATCAATTTTTTTATCATTATTTTACTATTTCAACTGTCATTTTTGAATTCTTCTCTCATAAATAGGACCCACTTTATCTCTAACGATTAAAAAATCTATTAACAAAATCTTTATCAAACAAGCACTAGGAGAAGTTGACTAGCAAATTAAAAAGCATACGTCATTGATAGAGTCTCCACTCATCTTAATGTCTATCCTCTTAAATATACGAGGGCACTTTTGTAACCTCACATTGGATAAGCGGTTATAACTTCAAGTTTAAATATTTATTATCAGGTCAAGAAGCTGGGAAAATAATTAGGGCTTCGTTTTTGGTGCTTAATGTGTGATAATTGTGAAGTTGTGAGCGCGATAATACTTGGCTTCTTGCTCCAATTTTAGGGCAAGAAAGTGATGGAACTTCTTGGTCCATTATCATGGTGGTGGTTTTAAAATTTTTATTTAAATTCGATGGTATATTTGTCATTTCACAGATTTTATAAGAATTTAGATGGAAATGAATAAAAATAATGATTTCCGTAATGAAATGTGAAAATAAAGGTGAAAAATGCAAAAAAAATAAAAAATAAATGAAACATATGTACGTTTTGCAAGTGAATTCCAAACGTAGGGACATTTTTTTGCTAATAACCCTATATTATTCTATTTATGGAAGCTATCTTCACTCGCTATATTGGTTGTATACTTTACTTGCGAGACCTTGGAATAATAGTAAGTGACACGTCCTTATATATAATTGATTTAAATTGATCGATTGAGCTATATGTACATAATAATTTATATACACATAATGTGATGATATATGATTAAATTAGAATTTCTTTAGTTGAAAAATGATACATGATTAAATTAGAATTTCTTTAGCTGAAAAAAAAAAAAGGCCTCTACTCTTTTTTTAACACCTCATATATATGCAAGTTATTATATAACTCTATCATGTATATATAACATTATTTTAAGTCGATAATCTGCATGTGTAAAATTAATCACTTGAGAATTTCAAATAGCAACAAGCAATAAAATTCTAACAAAAATTTGGAAGGGAAGAAATAAAATTCATCTAATTTTTATTTTTATATGTATTATGCTATTACAATGGTATATCTTTATGCGGTATTAATTATTAATGCCATGTTTGACATCCATTCTTAAAAAAATAAAATAAATAAATAAATAAAAACTCTCTTTTTTACAGACTCATTTTTAATCATTATTCTTATTATAAAATATTCTTTACATAACTTCAATTTTTTTTTTCTATTTTTCAATCACACGTCAAATAGGAGCTAAGAGTTTGTTTGGTACGGCTTAAAAGTTAATTAAAATCAATTGTTTTTTACCGTTATTTCACTATTTCAGTTATCATTTTTTAATTCTTCTTTCACAGACATGACCTACTTTATCTCTAACGGTCAAAAAATTAATTATCAAAATCCCTACCAAACAAGCACTAAATTGCATTACACAAAACAATGGATAAATTTAAGTTTGTATACGATCAATCAATTTACACTTACGCAACATGACAGATTACGAGTCATAAGGTATTTTGTATTTAGAAGACACTTCGAAATATTTTTAGCGCCAATTGACAATTTTAATCGCGTACAGTTGATCAAGTTATGCCTAGGTGCAATAAAAGTAACTTAAGATGCATTGATATTATTATTCAGAAGTATAACTTTTTCCAGATCTTTGGTCTTCTTTGCTCAAAGATTCGAAAAATAAATCATGTAAATGACACGAGTCAGATTAGGTAAATAGGTCTGACCATATGTTTATACTCAAGTAGAACGTTTAAAGTTGAAAAAAAAAAAGGTTCGATCATATATGAATTATACATGACAAACATAAGCAAAATACGTATATAACTTTATTATTACTTATCATCAAGGATTTCTCCAGGTAAAATATGTTAGTCGATGTGCATCCTAAATTTGCACGGGTGGCTAACACAACCTGCTCGTTCAATTCTAGGATTGCAGTTTTATCGCTGAAGGATGCAATGCATATTATCTCTTTCTTCGTAAAAAAATCAGTTACAGAGAATCAAATTGTTTGGGCCCAATTTTTCTAAAAATTCGTTTTTCCAAAATTCATTTTTCAATCATACATTCTCTAATAAAATAATATTACACGTAAATTCAAACTTTTTTTTAAAAAATTTTAACCACACATTTTTCATCAATTTACTTTTAAAAAATACATTATTTCCCTAAAATGTGGCTCAAACAAGGGTTAACAAATAAAATGAACTTCAAATAAATAATTCTTTTTCTCGTCACAAATATATTTACAACAAATTGACTAAAATATGCTCAAACTCTACTCAAACTAGGGCTGGGCAAAACCCAATCCAACCCAACCCGCTCAACCCCAATCAACCCAAACCAACCCGATCGGTTTGGGTTGGTTTTTTAAGTTCAATTGGGTAGGGTTGTTTTGAAAATATATGTTTGAGGTTGGGTTGGGTTGGGTTTCGGGTTATGATTTAAAACCCAACCCAACCCAACCCGATGAATTAAAAAATAATAATATCTAAGATGAAAAAAAAAATCTAAAAAAACACAATAGTAAAGATATGAAAAGGACTTATAATTTATAAACATCCATTTTTTTTATATAGATTGATTCCTATGAACACAATTTACAAATGAAATG